TGCCGACAATTGGTTCAAGATCCGAACGACAATATACGGTCGCTCGTGTTTTTTGCCTCGCGGCATTTTCCTCATCAGCAACAAATCGCCTTTAGCGGGTAATTGGGGATCAGTATTAGGCTGCGACTCGACGTAACTCTTTCCGGGCCTGTACTTTGCCGGAAGTCTGGGAAATATCCAAGGCTCGTAAGTGAATATCATCTCATGCGGAGAATATGTAGTTCGACCACTAATGGCAGTATTGAACAGTTGAGTGGCGCGTACCACTACTTGTTTGAATGTGAGAAACGACAACTCGTTAGGATTCTTTCGGCAGCGAATCCTCTCGTTAATAATGCGAAACATTCTCTCGCATTTGCCATTGCACCAGGAACTGAAGACTGGGGAGCAAACGTGCCGACACGAGACCGAACTCATCGCATCTGCGAACGCAGTAGAAATGAATTGGGAACCGTTATCGGTATGTATGCCCTCAGGTGTAGTGTTGAATGTTGCATCCACTACCCTGAACAGTGCTAAACAGTCCTCGGTAGTCGGCGTATTCAAAACTATCCGAGTTATCGTATAAGAGCTCCAATTGTCAACTAAGGCTATCACGTACATAGTGTCCAAGGCGTTATTAAATGGACCACTTATGTCCATATGGACCATTTGCCAAGGACGCTGAGCTCTCAACTCACATTGGCCGAACTCTATACCAAGCTGAGCTGTGGCAGCTTTTGTGATTTTTCCTGTGGAACAGACATCACATCCAGCAACAAATTCGTTGCAATGCTGCCGTAACTGAGGGCATCTGATGATGCGCCTCATGCGTTCGAACAATGAATTGGAGCCTTCATGCTCATGTAGCACAGTTGCTACATATCTCAGCTCGGATCCCCACGACATTATGAGCCTTCCGTGCTCGTCCCTTTCGTCAGCTCATGGATCCGTCTGGGTCGTTTGTAGGAGCCGCGATGAGATCATCGCAATGAGATCATCTCCCTCCTCATCTATATTTCTCGGAGAAATACAATAGGCACGAGGACGACTGAGCTCATCAGCCAGATTTTTATCAGTCGATATCAACTCGACTTCTAACTCAATGCCTAGAGCCGTACACGTAGATTGAAATGTTTTTAGCCGACTCTCCACCAATGTGGAATTGAGGCCATGGACCGCCCTCCAATGACGTTCTTGGTGGCGTGTTATCCAGGCCACAACACTCTTACTATCACATCTCAGAGTCACTTTTCTGCCCGATTCCAGTTTAAGAGCGGCTATATATTTGCCGACAAGTTGGATGCCGTATATGGCAGCTTCCAACTCTGCCAGGTTGATATGGCGTTTATCTCTGAGGCTTCTTAGTTTTGTGAAGTCCTCGACATAAACACCTCCTATAGTTAGTACAACACCCAACGCATGTTGACTTGCGTCTGTATATACTACCCAATCCAGATGTTTATCATAGCTCCACGTCCCGCCTATGGGATCACCTCGCTCGTTGATCTCATTTACGAGCTTTTCGCATGCAATGCGAATACAGCCATCCACAGGCACATCCCACAGTAGGTCTTGTTTAGGCTTCCTGAGGGTAGCCAATCTCTTTAGGGAAGCTGCTACGGGTCTCCCCCATTTTGCAATAGGGTAATGGGCTGTGAATTTCCCTGCCCATTTATGGATCTCCCTGCGGGTACAATTATCCGTATTAAGGATAGGCAATTGACCTCTACGACGCCAAGTACCATCCTTTTGACATTCGAGACCTAACACTCTGCTGTCAAGGAGAGCAGTAGGTTCTTTGGTAGGAAATCCGTTTTTCTGCAATGTATCCCGAATGAGTTGAGCATAAGACCGCTGTGTTATGATATCATCGACATACATATCAAAGATCGCCGTCAAAGGGATACACTCTTTTCTTATATCATCTAAGATCAGTGCCAGTGTCTTCGGAGCTACATTGAGCCCGAATGGCATTCTGACCATACGGTAAGCCGTATCAGGCTCCCATCTCAATCGGATTCCTAACCAATAGGATTGGTCGTTATCAACAAATATACACAAGTACGCCTTCTTCAAATCTATGATAACAAGCTCATCAGGAGCCTCAACTTGGTATGAGCGCCAACGTCTGAGATTCTCAATGCAAGCAAGCGGAGAGTCTCTATTCTCATTTGGCGTACTTTTGATCATCTCATTGGCCCAGCGCATGTCGCAACATGGCCGAACTGGTGTTGTAGGCTTGTGTAACTGTTCAGCACATAGTAGTGGGTGCGAAGCCTTCACTTCAGTGAGAGGCGTTTCCTCTATGAAGCCAGATTCTTTCCACAATTCGATGGCATCTTTGAACAACTCTATTATACCTGGTGATTTTCTCTCAAATACATCATAATCTGGTGGCATAATGTGCCTAGGTGGTTCATTATTAGTCACCCAATGCCACACTGCTCCTTCGTCGCTCTCTGGATCACCGAGACGATGCGCAGTTACATCTGAGGCATGTAACTCAAGTCCTCAAGGCCAAGTCCTCCCGCGGTGAACGTGTGACTCTGAAATAAAGTCGCCTCCTCCAGCTTTCTCACTGTCAGCACCATCCGTGACTTGGATCCCCACGTGACACTTTGCCGTGTCATTCGTGTACAATGTTGTATTGACAATGTCGTTGAAGATCACGACATATGATTCCGCGGACTTACTATTGGCATTGATTTGTATGATAGGCATATTGCTATCATTAAAGCTGATAGATATTCCCCTATAGCTCTGATCCAATCTAATCCAAGGATCCCTGCAAGGAGGATTCTGTCCGTCGCTACAGTGTTGCACCGACAGACTGCAACCAGCGGTTGATCAGTGACCAGTGCTTCTCTCAACACAACAGTCGACAGGGCTTTAAAGTCGCCTGGTAGACTGATGTTATTTCATACTGACATTGATATGACTTTTGAAA